TATATATTTTTAAACTATTATACTAATTATATAAATATTACTAACAATATTATTTCTCGAATTTAATATTTCATATTTTTTAATATTATAAACCTATATAAAATTATAATAAATAATATAAAATTCTTTAAATTATAACATATTTAATTAATTTTCAACCGAATTTACATAAAAATATATCAATATAATCATAAAATCAATAATACCAGTAAATTATCATATATAAATCCATATTGTACTAAACGTATATCACACAAATACATATTTATTAATTAATGAACATTTCAAAGTAATTCAACAAATCATCATGTACCTATAAAGCCCAATGTATACTTATACGTCTGTATTTTCGCACTTTTATCCATCAATTTCTGTCCGGTGATAGGGCAAGCTGCGCAATGCTGGACCACCCAGCGCCAAGTAAGGTTTATCCTCTCACCAAAGGCGCTGCGGCCAGGTGCCTGGCTGGACATGCAAACCTGGAGCAATTGGAGCACCAAAGACCATCTGCCCGCGCTCCGAGCAACACCGAAGTGCACAAAACCCTTTGCCAAAAAGGTCGTAGTCTGCCAAACATGGTCTATCGCCTGGGCCCCAAGGGAAGCGGGAGGGCCAAAGCCGAAACTGATCATCTACATCAACTGAACAAGTCCCACTAGCATGACAAACACCAAGTCCTGTTCCCGCACACCTGGTAGCGTCAAACCTGCAGTTTCACCAAAGGCTCAAGGAGGAACCACCTGTTGCTTTCACTGCTTGCAGTTCCCAAACAATTGTACAGCCGTGATGTAGACATTGGTGCGAATTTTACTAGAGATTCATATCCACCAATCACTCTTGAGTTGGTTCCTTATGAAGATTCATAGCCACATAGAATCAGCCGCATCCTTTGCCAGATCGGTGTAAGTGACTTGCACCTCCAGCTGGAAGCGATCTCCGGGCCAGGCTGAATGCACCTGATCCCGCATCTTTGTTGTGCGAAGAACGAACCAAAGATCCCCCGTATCTCCCAAGATACTCCTCAGAATGAACGATGTTCTGTGAAAAACAAATCATAAAGGAGTCCGATACGTGTTGGCAGCACTCATGGACGCCATTGGCGGAGCAGTTGCAAACGCTTTGCTAAAACAGAAAAATCAGCCGCAGTCAATCGATCTGAGTTGCAAGATACACCTCTGACGGCGATGCTTTTAATGGCTTGTTTACGAGTCATTTCCTGCCAACCTCTTGCAATTAGGATTAGTCCAATGCTGCGACACCGCCAGTCAATTCTAACAGGTTGCTAAACTGCATGCTGATGTGAACAGGCTGACCCAATCAACATCTGGCACATGCTGGTGACTGGTTGAGGCCATCTTTGTGGGAAGTCAAATTCATTTCTCTTCTATGGCCGGTCCTCCAACAGTGCATTCCAAGGCACATAGTGCTTCTGAAAGAAGCCTGGCAAGGTTGAGGAGAAATTAGCTTGGCTTGTTGCACTACTTAAACTAATCCGTCTGGAAACACCACCAAACAGCTTCTGGAGAGGACACATTCGCCATGGTCAAAGGCCTTTGATCCTCACAACGGTTGTGTTGAATATCCTTCAAGGGCTGATGACAAGCCCATGGTCCCATCCAAATTTGTTTGCCTAAGGCCCAACTTGCAAACATGGACGCAATGCCAACAAAATTGTCCGAGCCAATCTCAGCATGTTTGCAGAGCAGGCTTCGCACAAGCCGTTTGGCCTTCTCGGCGGTGCTGAATCGGGAGCCCTTGGCTAAGGATCAAACTCATATTACGAGTCCAGAACAAATGGCGTTGTATACTACATAGCTCTTCTTCTCGACTGTCCGTTGATTCTGCGAGGTTGTGTGCTTCTTTCAAGGAATTGCTCAAAGTTTGAAGTGCCACTCCACAACACGTCATCACAAGTGCTATGATGTGCTGTGCACAATGCAAAGATGTCCTCCTTCGAGTTCTGTGAATCCGCGCCTCGAATCCATTGGCGTGATCCCCCTGTCTACAACGTTCAGTCAATGCACAGGCTTGGACTTGCCAGCGTCCATGAACGCATCTTGGATTGTCCCAAACAAATCGAGGACCCCCAAAATGGCACGGTTTCGTTGGCTCTCCCTTGCACGTATCCTGACATTCAAGGCCGAAGCCCAAGGCCACAGTGCTCCGATCCGGTGCCTTCCATGGTCATGAGATCTCCGTGGCGGAGCTCGACCGCCTCGAGCGGAAGGTCTTGAAGTCCGCGTTCACAGAACGCTCAAGTTGGTCGCATGTACCAGAGCACACCTTCCGATCCCTTAAGCACAGTATAAAGCTTGCTCTGGAAAGAATCTATTCAACGAGCTGAGTTGTAGCTCTGAGAGTTCAAATTGTAAATGCGCTATGATGCTATGGGTCTCTCCGAGGTCTACCTGCCCTGATGAAGTGTACACTCAGCATGATAGGTGATAGGCGCTTCGAGTCTTGATCAATAAGGCAATTGGCAAGCCCGAACAAGTTGGCGTTGGTTCACCTTTGATCATGTCCTGATCATTTTTCACATGCTCAGTCGGTTTCCAGGTCAACTCTACTGCATAGCACATGATTGCCCTTATCCTCATTCATTCCGCACGTTCCTTTCCAAACAGGTCAGCAAGACTTGGCAAACGTTTCACTGTCCAGTCCGGCACTGCTTCCACTGGAGTGGATCAGGTTGCGAGCAAATTGTGCATGGCGTTGCCCTCTTCAGATGATTGTAAAAACCACCCAACCAACTTAGTTGAGCTGGAATAAGTATACAATGGCTTTGACAAACTGTTTGAAAGCGACATCCCAAACAGGGAACCGACATCCCACCAAAGTTCCGACTGTGAGCCTTGGGAGAAGTGATAGAAAAGCTTCGCAAGATTCACAGGGACTCTGAACGAAAACATGGACAACCACAAACACAACCACTCACATAGACGAGACTCAACGCATATGTATGTACGGTGTGTGCATATGTATATATATATATATAATTTACATATGCTATGGTTCAGCGTTGGCATGCCCTCGACCCCCCCCCCACTGTGGTCCTGTGGTGGGGTTGCGGTGGTTTAGGGTTGGCTTAGGGTTGAGTTTGGATTGATCTAGAATTCAGGTTTGGTTGAGGATTCCAGTTTAGGTAGGTTTGATGGTTGGTTGGTTGGCTCGTCCAGGGGTGCTGGGGGGCGGGGCGCGCTCGGCTTCGGGGGGTTGGGGAGGACCATACCATTGGGTGGAGGCACACGAGACAATGTATGCATACATAATATGATGCACAAATCATGAGTATCATAGATTTCTATCTGTATTCCTGGGAGGGGGAGAACGCAGTGTTTCCCTTAGCAAATTTCGGCCCTCCGCGCCTTCACAGAGCCCCCCCTCTTGAGGCGCACCTGGCAACATGCGGTGCCGGCAAGAATGCAGCGCACGAAGTGATAGTAGCACTTGCAAAAATGTTTGCTTCTAGGCTCTCAAATCATGTGAGTAAGCGCTGTTTAGAAAGACAAAGCCAATATCCTCTTAGATTTCTGAGTCCTAAAACCTAAGGCTGAGTAAATTAGCTTTTAACTTGTAACATCGTGTGGTCATATTGGCATGGAGTGTCTGTGCCCAGGGTCGTGACTCTTATCACGGCAAACAAGGGTGGCCGCTATCTAGGCGCCGAGAAGCAACACGCACCAAACCTCGAATCTCGCTCTGTGAAGCAGTACCAACTACATGGCCAACAATCATGGATTTCAGCAACATCTTCACCGAAGTACTCGCGAGGGGTGGCTTGTATACCTCAACGTGTTCACAGAAAGGGGCTTCGCGATGCAAACTGAAAGGCCTCTTGAGCAGCTAGCTGAATTCTTGAGGGTGGTGGCTGCCTTTTTCTCAGCCAAAATTCATGTGCCACGCCATGCTCTGGCAGCATAAACCGACTGTGCCAGGCACAACGTGCATCCCACTTGCAGGCTCTGTAATACTGCCTCTGCGGCACTGGATAACCATATCGGCATCTCGTAAACCAGCCAAGTTTGCTTTCTGCCCCTCAGCCTCTTGTGCATCCCACTATCCCAAGTTGATCCGCCCTCAGTGCCAAACGCAAAGTAAGTCTACACATGGCCCGTCCAGCAGAAAGTTCGAATGCTACATCAAGTCTCTTGCAAGCTTCACGAGAACATGGCTCAACTTCAAACTTGAAACAGCAGCATGGAATGCCTATTGCAGCCCCTTGGCAACTTGTGCATCCTCCAGCTACACCTTTAGATGACAAAGGCATGGCAAAGTTTCACCCGGGAAAAGCTACGCAGATCTGGTCTCTGTTCCCGCAGGCCGGCCCTGCACAAGACATTGAGTGGCCGTTGGGTTGGACGCTTTCGGTTGAACCGAGTTGGACTTCGGCTGGTTGAGGGTTTGGCGAAAGGTCCTAATTGCAATTGGAATGCCGATTGCTCCTAGAATTTTGTCCCCCGCAGGCTAGAGAAGGATGCAAGACAATGGTGCATGCTCCCAAAGCCTTGGGAGCCAAGCGAGCGGCTGCTCAAAAAACAATCTGAACTTGCCCCAAATGCAGAGACGCACAGGCTGGGAGGGCGGGTACATTGACGGACTGAAAGGGCTTTACCAAACGGAATATAGTGACCAAACGAGAGCACTAGCTCCCCTGGCCTCACTAGATGCGGTCTATGCGTGTGAGAGGCGTCCACCCTGAGCAGCGTTGGCCAGAAGCGGAAAGCGCCCGAAAGCTGGCAGGCTCCATGGCTGAAATTGAGTCATTGGCAAGCAGGCTCACTTCCGCGTCCTCCTTCCGACAGTTGCTGATTCAACATATGCCAACCTCTTTTCAAGGAATGGCCCGGTGCGTGTGAAACAAGGGTGATCAAGAGGATGGAATGAGGACGGAAGGCATGCTCACAGACCCTGATCGGCGGTTTGGATTGCTCAAAAGGCAAGCCACCAAACCGGTAATCTAGGTCTTGCTACCGTATTCAAAACAAGCGAGTTGGCATATATCAGCTCATGTAGCCGTCGTCCCTCACAAATAGCACGGTCCACCTGCACGGAAAATGGTGTGCAGGCGAATGCGCACCAGCGTTCATGCCAAACAGTCAGCTGTTGAGGGAAAGGGCATCCATCCCGATTCCTGCAAAGCTTGCTGCGGAGCCCCATGCATGTGCTCCCCTTATATTATGCTGACGGCAATAATTCAAGAGCACAAGAGCCTGACAATAGCTCTCAAAACAACTTCTGATGAAGGCAAGCCAAACTCTGCAAATGCAAGCAAGCCATGCCGCAGGAACAATTTTCGAGCAGTGGCGCCAACTTGCCGAGCTGCTCAAGGAATCCCGACACACATAGAGTCCTTCCCTTCAGCATGCTGATTCTAAGTCACCTGTTGACAGAATGACAGGTTGACAACTACATCAATTAGGACATGCCTCAGCGGATGGACAAGTGCTCTCCCATGGCACACATAAACCCTGGCCCCCTCGAACTTTCGCATTCGCCTCACGAAGAGGTACAAGAGGAAGCCGGCAGGCCCCACTAACATTGTCAGCAGCAGGCAAGGCACGACCAGCAAGTGCGGCACCTAACATGCCATCTGCATTCTGCGGCCAAGGTTTGCTCGGTTCAACAGCGTCAGCCGAAAACAGGGTGGAATGACTGTCAGTAAGAACTGTAAGAACATAATTAAAATCCAAGCAATTTGCGACGCCAAGGGTCCCAAGAGGAAGAGATCAAAACAACCAACAGTGCGCTGCACACAGAGCAGTGCCTCAATTCCCTGTAGATAGTTGCAAGACAAGTCTGCAGCAGCAACCAACCACGAGTCATGTGAACGCAGATCCCCGAGCGTTCCAGCCAGCCTAAATGTCCCTGTCAATCTGAGCACGTCTCATGTGGATTCTAGTCCTCGTATAGCTTGTCGTCTTATGGTGGTTGGTCTACACTCAAACAACAAACATGATTGAACAGAACATCATGGAGCTCTCTGAGGCAAACAACTAAACTACATGGTCACCCCCTTTGTATTACGCTACCAGGATCTGTACATCAACTTCACATGTGGCATCTACGAAAACATGGATTTCAACTCTTTCTTTGACAGGCCGAGTTGACAAGGGTTGGAAGGGCTGTTCATATTGCTGCTCCTGGCCTTCTGCTTGCGGCTGTCCAACACCTCCCCCAGCCCAATGAGGGGGTCCACGACGCAGTAGTGCAGCCAGCCGGCCAGGACCTCACAAGAAATCCTAACGGGTCAAACAAGAAGCAATGACTCTACCACAACATTCACTCATCCAAAGATCCGCCAACCATGGCCATGAGCTCCGCAAGAAGCAGCACCGTTGCACCGCAAAGTAATAAGTAGATCTCTCACAGCAAGCAATACTTTTAACAGCTGAAACAGATGGAAGGCAAGAGGGGCTTGCGGTCGGGCCTGATCCTATCTATTAAATGAACACTTGGCCAACCTGGTTCGTGGCTTTGGCTGAGAGGCCGCGTCGGAGTCGGAGAAGAAGGCAGAGATGCCTCGCGAGGCAATCGGGTCAAGGCACGGCTTTCAATCGAGACCGCGAAATTACAAGGCACTTTTTGGATTAAGCAAAATTACTTAGATTCTTCAAGGGGTGTCCTGGTTGGCCCCCTACCAGGGCTTGCACTCTGTTTCACCACAAGCACCACAAGTTTTTCAGCGGCTGGTTGCATCTTTTAATGCTTGCCACATGCATCAAACTTTCTGCGCCTTCCAAGTTCCGCAGGCTCTTGGGGTCGTGCTTGCTGAAGGCATACACAATCACCACGCAGTAGACCAGCGAGTTGATGACCGGCCCCAGGCAAACACCCGTCTTGAGGCCTCGCCAGCCAGGGCAGAAGAGCAGGAGCAACCAGGAGATGAGACTCAGGTTCGTGACCTTGGAAGGACGGGCCCGGCTCAGAAACGGCTGGTGGCGCATTGGCACGTTTGCAAGATTGCTTACATTCAAATGAAGTTGATGTGTGGGAATGGTGGCTCTACTCCTCACCATGCTTTGGCTCTGTGGCTCATAGCAACTCAAGCCGCAAGCCAGTACTGCTTTCTGTCACTTCTTATACTGTGATGTTGTCCGCTGCCAAAGTCGTGAAATCCAGACAATTCGCACCAACAGGCGCTTTGGGCGGGTTTATCAAACGACCCATAGATCCCCGTGGAATCAGCAACTTAGACAGCGCCCAGCGGCAGGGAACAAGCGTTTCGCGTTGAAGCCAAGCAGGCTGAAGCCCTTTGTCTCCGGCTCATCGAAGGTCCAGCTGTCTGGTCTCAACCTTTGTTTTGTCTGTGCCAGAAGCCAACTTCAGTGATGCAAAACGGATCAACTTGCCCAAAGAAGGAACTTAGATGAGTGCTCTGCATGCCTTGCGGTCTCTAACTGTGCACAAATAATTATCCAAATGGTCTGCGAACAGATTATCCTGAAGGAGCCTGCTTGTCAATTAGGCGTCGTTGAAGTTGAGCTCTAGGTTCACTTGGTTTGAGTCTGCACAGTTCTTCCAAAGAAGGTATGGCAGTGTGGCGTACTATGGTATATTCACCTGGCATAGTTTCAGGGGGCCCAACACCTTTGCCCCAAAGCAGGCTTGCACATCCGAGCGGCACTGCCACAGCAAGCGCTAGCAGCAGCAGCCGCTGCAGTTTGCGGCGCATTATGCCCAGCAGCCCAGCACGTCTTGAGCCAAGCGCTGAGACGGCTGCAATCGCAGTCTGCTGCGTCTAGTCCAAGCAAGTTGTTTGCTTTACAGAGACCGCGAGGACATCGCCTTTACTGCTGTAGTGAGGTGCTGCGAGTTTGCCAAAACACAAAACGGAATGCAGCATATTGGCACCTGCAGTGGTTATGCTGGATACATTCTGTGTTTTCTACTGCAAAGCTTCACCACAAGAAGAACGCTTTGCACAAGCCCAAACAGTCAACTTCACCCCTGACGCAAGCTGAACATCAAACTGGACTGAAGTCTGAGGGCCGTCCAACCACATGAGGTGGGGAGGTCAAAGCCATTCGGAACACCGGGTGCGAAGCGCCAGTGACCCCAGCCAATGGCCATCGACTTCCCAGTCACGATGCGGTTGCGCCTCAAAGAAGCGCTTGCCCAAGGTCTCGCTCTCGGCCAGTGAGAGGGATATAATGCGAGTGGCCTACCAGAAAGCAGATTCCAGAACGGATCCACAGCTCTTGAGCGGATCCACACTGTTGACCACTCTCTGCCAACGAAGCAACATGAAGCCGATTTGATCGCCGCCCTTGCTTTCTTCACGCCCAGTTTCCAATGGCCTGCCGCAGGCCGTCGAAGAGATCCTCGTCGTCGGCGTGAAAGCCGACGCCGCCTGAAAGCCCAAATGTTTTGTCTCAGGCACTTGCAAAACGAGCTGTGAGTGGAGTCAAGAACATGGACCCCCAAAAGACCCTCTGTCGGGATGTGTCATAAATTATGGATTTGCCGCTGAACCACGACACTGCCCCGCGCAGGGGTGATGTGTTTGTTGCTTTGGAAGCGTCCGAAATACGGGACTCCCCAAAACAGACCCTGCACATTAGGATGGGGTGGGATCCTAGCGAGGTCTCTGCTGGCTAAGTGGCAAACCCCCCGTACCTCGGAATTAAGGCTGGTTCTCAGAAAACAGGCCCTGTGTCAGGCAGAACATTCAGAGCGTAGGCTCGCGCCATTTCTTGCCTCCTGGTGGGTAGAAGTTGAGGTTGACGCTGTTGGGCGGGTTGTCCTCCACACCACAGGCAGCAGCCACATACTTCGTGATTTCCTGCAGGCGACACTAAGCACCACAGTGACATCACCAAATGCCGACGTAGACTTCTATGATTGCTCTTGGAACATTCGGGTCTCTTGGAACAACCATGCGACCTTCAAGCATTTTGCTTCGGGCGTTGCTCCCTGAACATTCTTTCACTAGCAAATCTGCACATATAAGTACCCGTTGGACATTCTTTGAGGAGTCCTAACCACGACCAGGCATGCGAGGAGTCCAATTATGCAAACTATGCAAGGATCTACAAAGGCCTGGTTGGAAACGCTACCCCAGGGAGCTACAAGGCAATTACTGTACCAATTTAGGTTCCCCTCCGAACACCACTATGAAGGCAATAACACACACACACACACACATCGTAACAGGGCACCGACACGTCTAAGCATTCCTCCAAACATGACGCGTCACAAGGCTTGTGAACAATGGTGCCCCGTAGTCTAAGCCAGCTTGCTCGCAAGACGACCATGTTGTCAAGCGTCTCCCTCACCGCCCCCCCCAAGTCGGCTCCTCGAGAATGGCCCTCATCTCGGGGTTTGACGCCGCCTCCTGCAGCATTGGCCATTTCTGAAGGGAAACAAATATCGGCTCAATTACAGCTATAGGTAGAGCATAGTAATTGGCTGCATCAGGGCTGGGCCCCGACATTTGTCCTGCCCGCAGGCTTGGTCTTGCCAGCTGGTGGCTTTGGTGACATGATACTGCTCTGTTTCGCGGTTCCATCAATGATGCCGACAAACACGACAGTCTGGATGTGTCTGGATGGGCCAAGCTCATCAAATTGTTGTGCCACATCCAGCACTTGTGCTGTCTCACCCCCCGCCCCCCTGCATGAAGGCCGAAGAGCGCCCATGAACTGTCATATTCTACGATTTTCGGGCCCTGACTGGCTGCGTCGCCCGGGTGTTCTCCTGGCGCGTGTCCGAATAGTCGTAGGCGCATTCACAAGGTGGCCACACCTGAGACGCGCAGATTTGGGCACGCTTTGGTAGATGCGGGGCGGCCAAACTAGCCCAGCCCCCTGAATCTTTGGCATGCGACTCTAGAGTACCCGCGGATACAGTCACAGACCAAGATACGAAAGCTGCAAGAAACCTCTCCAAGCACTTATTCCCCTTTCATCAATTTTGGACTGTCTGTGCAAGCATTGAGAAGCAAGTTGAGAAGCAGCAGCTGGCGGCCAATCTGACACTCTAGCCTGCAGAATAAGCCCGGAGATCTTCACACTCAACAAGCCTGGCCCAGCCTTTCGCCGGACCCTGAAGCGGGCTTTGAAATCAGGGCTTCCCCTGCTTTACTTTCATTTATTTTCAACATGCTCAAATCACAGCACTTTCCCACTGAACCTTCTGCGCAACTTCACCGACAGAAGCGCTGCCTTGGCACCAGCCACGCAGTCTTCCTGAGCAGCTCCTGGCCCTGGTGATGTGCCGATGACCAGCCGCCCTGGCCCAGCTGCTGAGGATGCAGGCGGTGAAACCACTCAGCCAAGCGCGCCTGCGACGAAGTGAGCAGAAGATGCTCAAACCAACTCACAGAGTCCGCTTAGATGCGACAAGCTGTGCAAGGACTGCGCGCGCTTACACCCAGAATCGGACAATTCAAACTATTTCAAACTGCTTTCCTGCTTTTGCCGTATTTTTTGGGGGTCCAGTTGCATTCTAGCCTGTGCTTGGAATCGCACGTGGAACAGGCAAGCAAAACACGCATCAAACAGCGTGATCAATGGTCAACGTCTTTCCGGCTTTTTTTCGGACCTGAGCGGCGTCGTCACTTTCCAATGCCATGGTGCTTCCTTTGATCATCTGCTCGCAGGCAGAACTACCAAACAAGAAGTTGCTGATCGCACGTGCAAGTTTGATCGCAGGTGCAAGTTTGATCCGCCTTGAACCAATCAAAACCCCTCAGCCCAAACGGCAAGCCTTCCAAACATGACCAACAATGGGGCGAGGCCATTGCTTTGGCATCGGGCCTCCGGCAGAGCACCGCTCTCCCGGGGCAGCACCAGGGCGAAGCTTTGCCTGGGCCAATCCTGAACGAAGGGCACCCACTTCTGCCGCAAAGTTGCTGGGCCCAATTCGCATAGCAATGGGCCGCCTGGGGCAAACGGCACCCGCGACTGGATGGCGTTGTGCTCTTGTCGTTGTCTCGGAATGGTGCGGTGTACTGTTTGGTAAGTTCTTGTTCGTGAGGTGTTGGGTCAGAATGTTCAGGCCGCTGAACATGTCAGCTCAAGGGCTGAATGCATTCTTGATGGCCTTCACCCTTTTGCCTGACGGAAGTTGCCCAACTGCATAACAAGTGCTGGCTGACTTTCACTGGCGCGAGCCGATCCTAGCAACTGCGCCGACCCGCTGCAAACCTTTATACTGGCTGGTTCCATGCACGCTTTGACAAGTTGTCGCCTTGAGGCGATTGCTTCTGCCCATCTTGCCAATCGCTTTCAGACCAGTCTGAGCAATGCCAGGACCATTGAGACCACCACCCAGACCACCCGTGCCCGGGCCAGCTCATGGCTCGCTGGAGGCCATTTTTCGACTTGCTGGTTGGGTTGGCCAGGGTATTCAAATCATTGGAAGCGGCAGAACAACACTTCGGTCTTGAAGACTAAACTGTACATACACACACACACACTGAATTGCCGTGCTCCAAAAGGCAACTGTTCTAAGTTTGCTACATCTTGTTTGTGGGCCCTTGCGCAATCTGCAAAAGCTCGTGCTTCAACGGCAGCGAGTATGGATGTTGACGAATGAATCGAGCATCAAGAATGTGTTCTTTGCAAGTACTAGGCCTAGGCATACACATCGGCGCCCCTCAACGTCTTGTCTGGTTTTAGGTCAATGGCTTGCAACCGTCCGGCTGGAGCATGTTGGCGATGCCAAAAAGAAAGTTGCGAGAATAGATGGCAGTGAACGACGAGCTTCATGAAGGGCGTTGCACTGGAAGCAATCTCACTGGCCCCATCAGTACAGCCTGCATGGGGCGCCCCATGTTTTGCAAACGCACGCTGATCCTTTGTCAGCAGCATCTGCGCCAGCCCATCCTGTCCGGGGGAGGTGTTGGCAGAGTACACCAACCCACATTCATGACTCTTGAGTAAGCAGCATAGACGATGCTTGTAACATATATTCTTGTTTGTACAGGCTGGTCACCTAAGGATGCAACCATAAACTCACTGCCAAAGGATATGCCAAGTGCTTAAGGATAAACCCGGGACGCCAGTAGCCAAGCTAAAGGATAGAATTTAGATGAGGCTGCAGGTCCTTGGCGGGGGGTAATTGTCATTCACATAATATATATATATGTATATATATATATATATTACATAGGTGCATTTTTTTTTGAGGGACCCCCTTTTGGCTGCTATCAAACAGGGAAATTGAAGGGACACAGGTTTGGGCGTTCGCTGTCGCACCTGCGCAGCCTGGTGCAACAGCTCGGTGGCTTTCTCTTGGTGCAAAGGCGCGCAGGCCTCGGACAACTCTCGAACCAAGGCGCAACCGTCTCCTTGGGAAGGAGAGCGCGGCACGTCCTTTTCGGAATGCAGAAACCATAAAAGCCTCCCCTTGGATGGTTTCAAGAAAGCCTTAAAACAAAAGCAATAGCAACGAGTTCCATAAAACCATTGTTCCATGCAACCATTGCAGCGGCTTCTCATTTTGCCACACACACACAATTTGCATAGAGCCAAGCGGCTGCTTGATAACTTGAAATGGGCCTGAAAAGATACTACTTGAGCTCCTTCGAACTAGCTTGGCAAAACCGCAGCTTCATAGGTGAGATCCAGCCACTAGAAACGGGAGCACATCTAGGGAGAAAGCCACAGAAGTCTGCCAGACAACCTGTGGAAACGACAATCTGGGCCAGGCATGGCCCTTCGAGCAAAGTCCGGATAGAAACCGGGAAGTCCTAAAGCAATCAGAAGTCGGATCTTTGAGGGGCACCTTCAAAAAAACAAAACAAAGCCAGTAGCAGCCCATGCTCCTCTGGCGCCGGGTGTGCGTACACTCCAAAGCTTCGTATGTGGCAAATGGCCATGATTTCGCTCCCAGAGGTGTTTAAACCATACGGCGCTCACCGCAATTGTCTAGCTTGACAATCCTTGTCGAAGAAAACATGTGCAGACCTTCAAACTCCGAATAGTGCCATCAAGTGCTATCTTGGGCCTTGTCACAAGTTCATTTAGGCTGAGAGCTAGGGGATGCAGCACATGATCTCGCAACTGGGCGCCCGTGCTGCAACCATTGTGCCGTAGGTCTCAGCATCCTCGGTTGAGCTGCGAAGAACCCTAGATCGTAAAACCTGTCAACCTGGGGGTGAGTGCATCGGTCCCAAGCAAGATGCTGGAATTGCAGAACACCAGGGGGGGGGGCAAGCCGCATTCACTGAGCAACCATGCTGGCGGGACCCTCAATCTTGCGGCTTGAAGACCTTCACAGCTTGCTTTTTTCAGCAGACCTCTCTGCTCGGGCATCTGTCATGTTGCAAATTCAGTGAGCACAGTCCCAAAACCATGAACCCCGCAGAAGTCGCCTTTCGCTCGTGTTTGCTGCGATGACATTATGAGGTTCTGCAACAGCAAGGGCCCTTGAGGTGTCTTGTGGTGACCAGCTGCTGGTCGAAAACCCACCATTCTAAAACTTCTGAGAAGCACCGCTTTGAAACAGGGGGTCATCCCTGAGTATGCTTCCCACGCCTCAGGCCTGTCAGAAGAAACTCCTTGACGATGCGGGCACCACCCAGGATGTGGTGGAACCAATCAGAAAAGCAGATTAAAGGATACGAGATTCCAAGACACATCTTCAGAGTAGATGACCTGGCAAAAGTAAAGTGTTGCACCTGCGGAACCAGCATGCTCAAAAAACACATTTGAGGGTAAGTTATCGACCCAAATTTTGGAGAAACCTCCGCGTTAAGCATGCTCTATCATTTTCACAAACATTCACGCTTGGTATGATTAGCTTCTAACAACCATATGTTGCAAGGTCAAACACTGGAAGCGCAGCACACATGAAAACGGAAAGGCTAAACTAACAAGCACTTGTGAGGATGAAGGGCAGACCAAGCGAAAATCCAATCTTGTTTCAATTCTGAAACAAGGAAACGGAAACTCCAGGGCGCCCCTTAGCACTTTTTAAGCAGGAAAGAACTGCAGGTTCGCTACTGCTACATTGCCAAGAAGGCTATGGTCCAACGCACCCAGCAAGGAAGCACTCTACAAAAAGATAGTTTGCTGGGCAAACGCGGGTGGGACGTGGCTCGCTATTGCAGGGCGCATTCCTTGCTTTGCACCGGCTCAGTCTTCACGCTTTTGTGTGAGACAATAGGCAGCGAATCGTGCGAGTCTGACATGTGCCGAACAAGATGAACTCGCCCTGATCCTAGGCGAACCACAGCCTCAACCATGAATCAACTCTAGACGCTTTGCCGTTCAGATGCTCCACTTCTGATGTCTCAACAATGGTTGGCTTCAATGTTGCTTGCCTGGACCAAGCCATGAGAGCATTGTCCCAATTTTACTGCTCGAGGTTGACCCATCTCAAAGCCTTAAACCTGTTGCTCGTGAGTTGGGAACCTGCAAATGTTCAAACGGATGAACATTTGTTTGTCTTGCGAGCCATGGCTAAAGAATATGATCCAAGTCCGAAGCTGCATAATTGCGCGGCCCCTTCCCCCATTCCCCGACTTGTTCAAAGGCCCAAAGCTACGGAGACGGACCATGCAAAGGCAACACAAGGTAAACACATGGCTGGCCATGAAATGCCAACACAGTTGAATTCAGATATTTGGTTTGCTTTTGCCAACACGAAAACCAAACTGCTGACCAGCCTTGCGGGTTTCGGACCCTCAGATGTCCCAACCAAATCTTATGCGATGCTCAGTCCCTGGCAATGCTCACTCGTGCCGTGAGCATCTCTACCGACAATGTGAGCGCCGCACTTCGCTGCGATGCCTCGCCAACACAAACGGTCGCTGCCCGTTTGTAGGTGTTTTCACCCAGCTGCAAAGCATTCATGCCGTTGTGTCTTTTATATAACGCCATGTATTTGGAAAGACCTCATTTGCAAACATGCTTCCCCGGCCCACATCCAGGCTATAGAGCACCATACTGCTTAGTGTAAATTTCCTTGAGACATCCGGGGTGCTATGGCTTTTGAGCTGCAAAACATCTCGACGTGGTGGTGCTTGCGGTCCACAAAGTTGCTCGAGACTGCGTTTTGCTTTTGTCCAAGTGCCTTTCACAGCAGGATGATTCTAGGTTGGCATGAATTTCAATGGGACCCTTTGGTAGACATCCTTTAGGTCGGGTTTTGTGAGCAACCATTTGGGAGGGCATCCCTATAAGTCACAGCCGTGATTTTTTAACACGTTCTGAGACTCCGGGCACGCAGCAATGCGGAGAGGCCTGCGCCGAGAATGATCGTGTTGATCTCAAGGCCATCCTCGACAGCTTCAGATTGAATAGGGGTGAGTCTTAACTGGCTGGTGGATTAGACAACTCCATTTTGTTCATTTGCTTGTTGGTAAGCGGGTAAACCTTCTTGTTGGCTTGTCCCTTAAACCTAGCCAGCTAAAGTAGTGGACCCAGAAACTGGTTGGTTTCCCATTTGTGCCCGAGGAAAACCAGCCAACAGGGGAACAGCACACCCAAAAAAAAAGCACGCGTGGCAGCCGCCTCTAACCCGATGGCTTAGAAAAAGATCCATTGTCCAGTTGGAGGGTGGAAAAGCGGAGTTGACCATCTACATTGAACGCCCCCCACAAACGCATACCTCCAAACATTTCACTCAGTGTTGGCATAGGTCTTCAGATCTCCGCAAAAGGCTGGGGAGCAAAGATAAGAACCCTTGAAAACTTGTGCAGGAAACAACGGCCAATTATGAGACAAATTCCACATTTCGATAGACTCTGACGCCACAACTCTCCCAGCACAAGAACAAGAGACTAGTGGTTTGCAGTGGCTTTGCTGTAACACCTGCCCTTTTCAACTGTGTACAAAACAATAAACGCATGCGGCCGGGAGTCGGGGAAGAAGCATGCGCGAGCGCAGCGCAATGCTGCGCAAGGCAACTCTCCAATGCGACCCCTGAAAGTGAATGAGAGCTCAACCAACAAAAACTTCTCTGTCAGCGTCTATCCTGGAACGAATGCTGAAACAACAGCAAGCCGGATAGTCCCTGCGGAACGAACGTAGTCCTGCATCATCCGCGCCAGGATGTCCAGAGCGTGCCTCCAATCCTCAATGGAAGGTCAGTCAGGCCCTGGGACTGCGCAAGCTCTTGGGCATGTCTTAAGCTTGCATTCTGTGTCACGGACCCGAGTCAAGGACTAGCAACATTCATCTGGCACCGACAGCTACGCTTTCAAGAACGCATTGTAGCCAACCACATTGCCAAACATTCCAACCAAGATTTATATTTGATTCACGTACTTGGTACAACTTTGCTCTGCTTGGCTTGCTAGCATGGGCCATGCTAGCTAGAACGTATTGATTGTCAAGTTCAAATTCACAAGCGGGCGTTAATTCGCATTGCCACCTTTGGCTTGCAAACCACTGCAGCATACGCAGTTGCAACACACTACTGTAATCATAGTAATATTTGTAATAGCAAGAAACATCATATATATATATATATATCGCGTACAATCTGATTTCTTCATTTTCCGGAAAACGACACAACCGCAAAAATAGACAAGGATCCCTCAACATCACACAGCCCTGCTTTTGGAGACTTGCTCGCGAAACCGAGACTCTCAATGCCAAGGAGCGTGGGCGGCAGCCTTCATCGCAGTACCCTGCATGACGATGTTCGACTCAAGCCTTCCTGCGACCTTAGGGCAGGTCAGGTTCTGCTCAAGCCCCAAACACATCCAGAGAGACGTCCCAAGGAACCACAAGCTGAAGACATCGAAGGTGCAAGATTGTTGCTCTTGATTTGCCTGTCGCAGTGCTTGCTTGGTTGGCAAGCACGTGAGCTATATTATCTGTGTTGCCATGAACGAGATTCTGCATCCCCATTCAGTGAACAAGGGCTCATAGTGGATCCAAGCTGGTGCACAAAATTTTGAGCATGCTGCAGCATTTGCAGATTCAAGAAATGCTTCTGGCGTTGAAATCGTTTCTCAACTTGTGGTGACCAACTTTGAGCAGCGAGCTTGCCCAACATGTTGGATGAATGCGATTGGCTGAGCCCGGGGTTGACCCGATACGCGGCGTAGGGAATGCCATCAACACCAGAACCGCTGTCAGGCCAGCAGATGACAATGTCAAGGATGTCCTGAAGGGAGGGCAATTCTGCCTATTCCATGGTCGACAGGCAATAGGGCTGAAAAAAAAACACACAGCTGGTGCCTTGCCTTGCAATCAAGTCAGTGCAACACCGAAAACGCGCCGCCCGCTTAAGCCTGAGCCGGACTTTGCAAAAAACACACCTGCATGCCGGGCATTTGGCGCCCTAATTTGTCCCTTTTTGCTTTGCGCATTGCTTAGTCATGGCCAATACCGCTGCGAAGAAGAGACCTAAACAATATGTCCATTTCCGCAAGCAGGCGTCTCCAAGCCTCTCAAACTACAGCAACAACAACTGTTCACCAGACACACGGCACCAAGAAAATCGTCCGGACGCACTCCCACATGTTGATCGGCCTGCCTTGACTCGAGTCCCAGGCAACATCCTCTACCAGGTTCATGGCAACTCGCCACCTGGGGAGAAGCCGGCGGAGGTGCCGCCCAAAGCGGCGGCTGTGGGTGGAGAGGAATGCTGTTGAAGAGCAACCTCCACTGGGGATGTGGGGAATAAAAGTCGTCAAGAAGAACACCGTTTTCAAATAATCTGCGCTTCTCGGTATTTTTCAATCCACTAAGGCTGCCAGAAGCATTCTGCTCTGCCATGGACACCGAACGGCTGGTGACAAATTATGGCAAACAAAAATAGAGCCCGCTTGCGTTCAAATTCAAGCGCAAACAAAGTCAACGCAAATCATATGAAGCTATCTGCAGGGAAAAAAGAGCAAGAACACGCACTCACAGCCATAGTCAGTTCCAGAAACAAAAAGAACAGCTGCCAGCTCTATAGCTCTGTGTCTACCTACTTTAGCAGGTTGGCTCAAGCTGCATAGCGGCGGTCTAAGGACCACGACCAGAACTGGCTTTGATACGCAAAGCCAGGCATGTGCCGGTATAGATTGCCATGGAGAGTGCGACGCTCAAGGCAAAGCCAGAGAGGTTGACTCGGATCGTCAGAGCCGAAGAGAATCTGACACATGACGCACTGCTTCGCGCAGGTGCGAGTCTATTGATTGACGTGGCACATTTGTAACTTCCAGACGTCTTCACCTTCAGAAATTCAGGCGGCGGCTCCAAGCTACCGCAGCCTGAACATAGCTGCTGATCAAATATTGTTGCTGAACATGCATGTCATCAAGAAGGCATTCTGGTCAAGCAGATTAGACCGAGGGAGGTACGGCACACGGAAACCTGTAAAGGCATGCAGCATGGGCACATGAGCAACTGAGCCCTGGCTGTTAGACACATTGTCATGGCACTTTCTATTAGAGCTACAGCGGCCTTTGCGCACATGATCGCACCAAACACAACTGCACATCCTAAAAAGTCAGAAGGAGGCAACTCAGCAATGTGCGCGCCGCCTGAAATTCTACCGCTGAGAAGTGGACAAACCAATGGTGGTAATCATGGTAATCACAGAACTTCTGCCCCTGTGCTGACCCCCCTTGTGGCCCTGACGCCGAGCTTGTCTCGCAAGCAGAAGTGACTGCACTGTAGACGACCACGTTGCCTCTAGGAAGGCAAATCCCAACTCTCGCCATCCAAACCTTTACACTTGGCAAGACTTCGAAAGCCCCAGTTTGAGGACAAAGCACCTGACGGGAAACAAATCATTGGCTACTTAGACTGCACAAACTTAGCCATCTTTACATTCGCACACACACACAGCCCATGTCCGGGCAAAAAGGATGAGATCGCTGGATAGCCGAATCGCTGCTGCGCTGTCAAGTGTAGGACTGCAAGCTGGCTTGTCTCAGGGCTGACCTAACCAGGAGCATCATCCAGTTGGAAGCTTTCGGTATACCTAAACTTGCACACGGCACCGCTGCCGCTCTACTTCAAGTTCCAGTTGCTCTTGCGCATAGGTTGGTCTGGTGCAAACCTTGCACCGATCTGTGAGGCGCCCTGAATTGTCTAGTGGATCCTTAGACCGCGGGTGGTTGCACAGTGCTTACCTAACCCTCCGCACACCATGTGGTAAAGGAAAGCAGCTATTTCACGCCCATCCTTGGTCTCACAGCGGCCAAACCCCCGATATGCCTGGGTAATAGATAAGCAGCCAATGACATGCATAAGACGTCACCTTGAAATGGCCTTGGGCAGCAAAGCTGCCGTTTAATTGAAACCTGCGGTGGCTTGCTTTTTGATGGGCACTTGTTTCAAGAATTTGGGCCTTCATGGGGAAAAATCGCTGGACTTGCACCTCACATCGGAGACATTTGGGACTCCAGCAATGACAACTCGAGCCGTCCAGGTGGATCAGCGCCGCTTGCCACCTAGAGCTGGGGTCAAGTCGGGCCCGACATCTTGTTCGGGGCCTTTTGCTGGACATCATTTACAGAGGGAATGTTCAATGCATTGAACTTCGTACTATCAAACTTCCACCTTAATTCGCAAACAAGTCCTGCGATCTTGTGAGCAGGGCCATCCTGACAAACGATACTTACGCAATGGCTCTCCCGAGAAACGCCTTTCCAAGCTTTCCTCAGGCCAAGGAATTCCATCTCACAGGATGCGCTTCTAAATTCAATAGCAAATACCAACGCCACGGCGTCAAGGATCAGAATGTTTGGTTCCAATCTATTGCCCGGGATATTATTTTTCCCTTCCCTCAGCGGATCTGACAACATACTCCGAATCAACATTTCCGGAAACAGTGTGTCTGTTACGGAGCGAATGCAAGCACATATTTTGCCAGGAAAATGTGTGTTTGCATGCGTGTCTCGCATACATCTTGGACAAGCCGGAGCTTCATCCTAGCGCAACGCTCTCATGATTTGAGCCCTTGATCTTTATCTGGTTGCAGCTCTACGTCATAATGTGGCTGGATCTCACGTTGAATATGTGTTGCCTTTCCAGAGTCGTGAGCTAGCTACACTCGATTCACCCAGAACGACGCCGGACGCACGAGTTTTCAAATCGCGGCACTGCGACGCCAAATGGCGAAGTTGGGCTAGGCCAAAGAGGCCCTCTCGCTCACTAAGACTTTTCACATCAAATCGGCCAAGATGCTTGAGCGTAGCAGTACCCCTCGTTGGCAGTGAACCAAACAAACACACTCCAAGTGGCACACCTTTGGAGCCACTCGCTGTCAAATTGCGGAAGTATCCGGGAATGGTCCAGCCTTCTACTCTGTGATGCTCTGCGCATTTTACGACAGGAGCAAGCTACAGCTCAGCAAAGTGCAAAGAAGCAAACGGCAAAGTTGCCAGTATGCAGGAACCTCAGTTGACAAGTCAGAAGTTGGTAGTCCTGCAGTATGCATGTATGCGGTATGTGTATGTATACGTATACGCTCACAAGCATACGACTGGGTGCACATGCATGTGCGAGTGCATCATCTGGCTGTATACGAGTCTTGGCAACAGAGACTACTGCAGCCAAATGCCAAGCAAGTCACATGCATTCATGTGTTCTAACAAATAATATTGTGTGTGTTCGCTGTTGCTTGAGGATGTGCATACTTGTTAATTCATGAAGCCGTGCTGCAATGGGTGCACTCATTCATTAGGGTCTGGCTCTGTATGGTGTGTGAGCTATGTGCTCTGTAAGCGCCCCAGGAACTCGGAACTGCAGCTTTGCCCGGTCATTTGTAGAAGTAGTGAGTTGATCGATTCAGCGAAAAACCCACACACACACCATGGAATTGAAGCTGTGAGCCTCCACGGCTTCTCTGACAGGTTTCGGCCTCTAGATTTGTACAAGGATCCGGCAGGATTCTGATTGAGCACAAACGCCACTGCAAGGCTGCTGCTTTCTCTCGTTCATTGACACCAAGGGTCTTGCATTTGTCCTTCGTCCACTGTTGAATCCAATGCAACACGGAAGCAGCATGATAGTAGTATAATGGGTCACTTGAAAAGGCATCATCACGCCTACAACGCCTGCTCTGTCATCCTCACCGTCATCATCAGAATGAGGGCACTTGCGCGCCCCGTCAACCTTGTGCGTGCATGCGTGCATTTGTGTGTGTGTGTGTGTGTGCCAGCATGTGTGCGTGCGTGCGTGTTTGCATGCGTGTGTGTGTGTGTCTCTGTGTGTGCTAATATCGATGATGTGCTTGAGGTGGGTAATAGATACTGATGCAAAATTCAGAAAGTCAGCTGGCCCACGTCCAAGATCACGATGCACTCAACATTCAATGTGCCTACCATTCAATGCGTATTCCAGATGAATGCTGTGGCAAGTTCCACCCTTTATGGGACCGGCAAACAAATTCAGTTGCCATGTTCAAGGATGTAGGTGGGGAAGTGGGGCCGTTGGGGATGCCCCATGCCGAGAATTAATGATCCAACCCGCATGCTCATACAATTTGCCAAGGCGCGCTCAACCTCTGCGAAGGATCGAACTCCCAACGCCTGACAGATTCCCGAATAGCATATGAGCTGGTCAATGTAAAGCAAGGACTCGCACTAGTATCTGGGTAAAGCATGGAAATTGGCCGACCCAACATAGAGCACCCCTATAGGTTGCCCTCATCCGCCCGCAATTCAATTATCTTGCCAGCTCTTCGTGGTGTGATCTCTTGAACAGTTCTTGACTCGCGCTGGCTCATTGACACGGGGCTGTCTTCTGGTCCAGTCCTGGACAAGACTGATTGCACAACTTGTTCTCGCCAAATTACTGCCACCAGACTGAGATATCTGAGGGGCAAGTAAGTGCACGCAGTTCTCCAAGCCATGTGCAGCATGTGAGGCCAATTCTGCTCGAAGGAACGATGTCTCACCAAGGGGGGTGGAGGAATTTCCTGCCCAGGGGCTCAGCAAGGCTGCCGCTGAGCAACAGGCACGGCCTAAGCTCAGGAAGGCGAAAAAACGGCCAGAAGCGAAGCCTCCAGACCGACTGCGTGGATGCTTTCAGAACGTCCTGTAGCGTTGCAGAAGCATCTGAAGGCATGTCCTGTCTGATTCTCTCCAACTGGTTACATCTACCCCTCAGCCGTTCATGAAGGACACTGAGGTAGCAAAATTGGTTGTTGAACTAATTTAACGACGCAAGCTCCAGCCGAATCGGAATGTTAAAAGAGCCACAATGCAAGCTGCTACCCTGCAAATCAACAAACCATATAGACACTTTTATATAATGAATATCATGTCAAGCTTGCTGTAAACGCATCAAATGCAGGTGCGCAAATACGGAATTGGCGTTTCACGTGTAGACACAGTTGCATGTATGACTTGATAAACACATTTTGTTAGAATGCTTAAACAATATTATCAACCATGTTTAGCTATCATATTTACAACTAGTTGTTGATTTCCTTTTTTAAAACATGGGCATCCAGACAGCTCCGCAACATGATATCATGCTAAACAAATCTGATCTCATGCTCCTTCAACCATCCTATCAATCAAAGCAAACGCATGATCGATGCTACAACAGTCGCTTGTATACTGTAAATGAATAAACTTGCTGTTGTTTTTTGCATATGACATGTTTGAAAACCTGGCTATGCTAGAATGCCAATACTAATTGTTGGCGTATATTCAATGGAACATCGCTATATTTGTGCTTTTAGTGCTTACTTGATACAACATTGCGTAGAACCAACACTGTCTCATTGGATGGCACACAATATTCAACAAGCACTACTCATGCTGAATAAAGCACATTAGGCGCCTTTACACTACAATGGGGCCGGGGTTGTTCTGGCCTCTCTTCCGTTGAAACTAGCGAAGCGGCGCCTGTCAGTTGACATTGATACGTTTTAGCACGGACGGGCGGCCGCAATTCTCGCGGGTGGGAATTTAGGGAGCAGGCATCCTGTGTCCTCAAAACTCCGCACATCCCAACTCAAGGGGGACAACGGCTGAGCTTATCCCTTCAACAATCCTGAGGACGAGGCCATGCGGCAGCATGAAAGACCAAGACTGCCATACTGCAGCGCCAAATCTGCAGGATGCACAACAGCCCCAGAAGCAGCGCTCCTGACAAGGCCGCTTCCATTCCACAGAGCAAAGCATGGCCCCTCAACCGCGCACACTGCAGTGGTAGTCCGATGGGGCCACGTACTCTACATAAATTTAGCCTTGACGGCGAAATCCTACGCGTTTGGATGTAGACATGTTGACTCAAAGCCTGGGACATTAAAGTGGAAATTCTACCAGTAGGGCGGTGACAGCTTCTGAATGCACAACTATACACACATTCTCTGGAGTTCTTGGAGTGGATGGAGAATGAAGGGCGTCCTGGTTAGAGCTGGATGCCCACACAAATTCACATAGAAAGGCGTGCATCATGAGCCAAATGGAACCACTCCACACTAGGCTCTTCACATTGCAACCGGAGGTTTGGCAGCAAACATGCGTGTCAAACAAAGGTGATGTCAAGCAACTTAAGTCCAGCCAGTTCAAAAACAAAAGCATCCCCAGCATCACGGTTCCGCGCAGTCTCGATTTCAAGCATCTCAGATTCTAGGTTGAACATACAGCGCCTATGAATGCTAAAATTCAAAGCTTTAGGTTAAGACTTAGAGCGTGACCGCATCAAAAACTGAGGCCCACAGATTGGCCAATGTTGCGCCCGACCTGGCTTGAACGTACTGGGTCACAAAATTAAGGTACAGCCGCAATGGCTCAGGGAAGGTCTGCGGAGCCATGCAACACTCAGAATCTCTTGTGGTTTTTGTGCCTAAATTAGGTCTGGTGATCAGGAAACAATGCCGGAACCCTTCAATCTGGACATCCAAGATGGCTCGATATGGACGCCAAGGAGGCTGCAAACAAAGAATCCACTGCTGCTGACGAGCGCACTCCCACCCAGCAACTCACCGGCGCACGAAACTGCGTGGCCACACCTTGCAAAGCAAGAACGGACATTGGCAGCAAGCACAGAGGACTCTGCTGCCACAGCGGCCTTGCCTGACAGGGTGAGTTCGGGAACCAAACAAAACCTTTGTCCAGTCTGGCCAAGCACCTGCTGGAACTGCATAATGTGCAGACAATGTTAACACCCGATTAATTGGGGGTCGTTGAATAACTATTTTTTTCCTTATTCCGGTTCGCCCCCATTGTTGATGGGGACCAGAATAACTGAAAGTTGTTTTGCCGGCGGGGGGGGGGGGGGGAATTCACAAAACACATCCACAAATCAATTTCAATTGGTGGCCCACTTGCTTAAAAGCATTCCCCTTTGAATTGGTTACTCAAATACAAAACCCAAAGCCAGCTGAAACCTCTGAAATTTGAAAGCCATCCCCAGAAACTGCAAATTCTGTATTAAACCGTATTAAAAAGATGCAAACAAACAATCAGGACAAGGATACCCCTCACAGACC